TGAAATGAATCTTTTTTTCTGAACAGTATGTCTCAACAGTGGGCTTAATATATTCAGTAAACCACTTATAAATAGATGTGCTATCATCCAGGCTTTTTTGCTCCATTTATAGAACACAGGCAGAGTAGATTTAGCATAACCTAAAGGGCCCTAAAATTTTCAGAATGATAAATGAGCACTGGCTTCAACTTAAAGTCACCAGCTGTATTAGCCCCTAACAAGATAGTCAGCCTTTATGCCTTTGAAGTTTTGAAGCCAGGCATTGAGACTTCTCCTTTCCAGCTGTGAAAGTCCTAGATGGCATCTTCTTCCAATAGAAGGCTGTTTTGTCTACACTGAAAATTTGTTGTTTAGTGTAGGTACCTTAATTGATGATCCTAGCTAGATCTTCTGGATAACTTGCTGCAGCTTCTACATTCAGCCCTTGCTGCTTCACCTCACACTTCTATGTTATGGAGATAGTTTCTTTCCTGAAACCTCACGAGCCAAACTCTGCTAGCTTCAAACTTTTCTTCTGTAACACCCTCACCTTTCTCAGCTGTCATAGAATTGAAGAGATAGGGCCTTCTTCTGGATTAGGCTTCGGCTTATGGGAAGTTGTCCTGGTTTGATCTTCTATCCCAACCACTAAAACTTTCTTCTTATCAGTAGTAAGGCTGTTTCACTTTCTTATCATTTGCATATTCACTGGAGTAGCACACTTAACTTCCTTCAAGAGCTTCTGCTTTGCATCCACAACTTGGCTAACTGTTTGGTGCAAGAGGCCTAGGTTTTGATCTACTCAGCTTTTGACATGCCTTCCTCACTAAGCTCAATCATTTCCAGTTTCTGATTCAAAGTGAAGATAGGCAATGCTTACTTTCACTTGAGCACTTAGAGGCCATTGTAGGGTTATTAATTGGCCTAATTTCAATATTGCTGTGTCTCAGGAAATAGGGAGGCCCGAGGAGAGGGACAGAGATGGGGCAATGGCCAGTCAGTGGAGCAGTCAGAACACACACATTTATTAAGTTCGCTGTCTTAATGGGCAGGATTCCTGGCACCCCCAAACAATCACAATACTAACATCAAAGATCACTGGTCACAGATCACCATGACATATATAATAATGAAAAAGTTTGAAATACTGTGAGAATTATCAAAATATGACACAGAGACACGATTGAGCAAATGTTGTTGGAAAAGTGGCACCAATAGACTTGCTCGAGGCAGGGTTACCACAAAACTTCAATTTGTAAAACATGCAATATCCATAAAGTGCAATAAAGCAAAGTGCAATAAAACAACGTAACCCTATAATGTGTTTCAAACAATTGCATTCATTGTTATTTACCATCTTCTGCTCCCCTTATTGTAGAGAATTCAGAACAATACACTACAGACCATTACGGTATATTTGGTGCTAATAGATTTTCATGAAGGTTTCTGAAAACCTAACTACAATTTCATTCATAGCTTTATTTCTATAACAAAAGATGCTGAAAATTTCAAACAACCAACTACAAATTATAACCACAATATAACTGTCCATGTGCCAGAAACTGTGCTAAACTTTTTGAATGCAAATCTCATTTAACGTATACAATAGCCATGTTAGGTGAGTATTACTATTATTCCTATTTTATAGATAAAGAAAATGAAGTTTGGAGACATTAAGTAATTTGTCTAAAATCCAGTTAGTAAATGGTAGAGTCAGGATTTGTACTCAGGTCTATCTAACTCTGAAGCCCATGCTATTAACCACTATCTTTAATATCTGACAGACCATCATGTTAAACAATGGCTCTCAACAAAAGTGTACCGCCTTCCTAAAGGGTTTGGAGATGATGCGGGTAGGAGAACAAGAAGAACTATCCTGCCCAGATGCCAACAGAATTAAGCCCCACTGAAAAAATACTGATTTAGAAGTATTCTCCTTAACCTGCATACCTCCAGATATAAAAATTAGGACTATTTTGATTATTTTAAGAAACTTCTTCCTTTTAAAAATTTTAAATTATTTACATGTTTCATTAATTCACATTGCTTTTCTCATCAACTTTGCAGGAAAAAAATGATGCTTTGCCTTATATAAAAAGTTGAATTATACCAATTCTCTAAACATTGTCATAATTATTTTAAAATTAAAAAATAAAATGGGTGGTACCAAAGTGATTTGTGAACAAACCTGAAGGTATGAGTGACAATATATGTACTCTTTAAAGCAGCCTCTACATACAGGGATAAACAAAGGTTTTTTTAAAAAATAAGGGGCAAAAAGGGGCAGAGAGAGGCATTAAAAAGTTGTATTAGGAAACTTTTGGGGATAACGGATATGTTCACTCTCATGATTGTAGTGAAGGTTCAAGGTCCGTACATATGTCAAAACTGATCAAATTATACACTTTAAATATGTGCAGTTTATTGTTTGTCAATTATACATCAATACAACTATTTTTAATATAAAAATTAATTTCTGGAGCTTAAAAAGTAAAAGAATATTCTAAGTATTGTCTCCAAACAGTCCCACAAAGCCTGAGATGTAATACAGATGGAAGGTTAAAGGAAATAAAGTGACTGATTCACAATTTCCTTCTTAAACTGGGTATAGAACTGCAGAAATTAAGTAGTAAAAATACTAATATTCCAAAATACAGAAGAGAGGGATCTCCTTGCTGGAGCCCCTTTTCCTAATTCAGATCAACAGCATGCACTGAGGCAAGGCTGGGTGAGAAACCACAGTCAACACCATGCATCCAGTCCCAGAAGTCACCCACTGACCACACAGAGCCCACATATTATACATCACTGGCATGCTGGGCTTGGTCCTCACTGTGTTTAAAAAATATCTCTTTTAATTAGTTGCCAACCTTTAAAAATTTAGATTTTATCCCCAAATCTTTTTTACTTTTCTTGGAAGATCTGGTAAACCCCTAGGCCCACGTTTCCAACCTGGTCTCAGGCCAAGCACTCTGGTCAGCCACAGGCCCCAAGACTCAGTGTCCATTCTGTCTTGTCCCTGGCAGCTTGACCCACTTACATTACCCAACCAGGTCTTCACAGACTTTTGAGTTTGCAGTCCTTACCCTAAGGCTATAAAGATTTTCTCTGATGAATGTTTTGTTTTGTTTTGATACTATCTACAGGCTTACCCCCACATTAAAGAGAACAGCCCTTAATTAGAGGTGCAATTCTTACTCCAAAGGGTAGGGAACTCAGCAGAAAGTGGCAGCAAACAAGAAACTAGACTTAGCCATACCCATCCGTGAAGTAGAGGCCAGGCCAGAATAAAAACAAATCCTGGAAACTGGTTCTTATGGCACTAGTTTCAACAAATTCAGTGAAGAAACTTCTGACATAAAATTTGTCTCTTGGAGATCTTCCCCAGAGTCTCCCAACACACACACATACACACATACACACACACACACACACACACACACACACACACACACATACATACACACAGAGACCCAACTTCCTACCTTTCTGCTCCCCAACTCTGCTAGGTCACTGAAATGGTAACAGGAATCTCTATTATCCTGCTTCCAACTTAAGATAAAAGAAAAATTCTTTTTTTTTTTTTTTAACCTGGTAAAAAGGGAAAGTTCCCAAGGAATAATCACACAAATTATTACAGGACAAAAGGGGTCAGAAACCTATTCTCATTCAATGAATAAACAACCAACATTTTAATCATTACATATCAGAAGCATTAATATTAAAGTCAGGAAGAAGACAAAGAGAGCTGTTATTACTATTAACATTTTTCTACTCAGTTCATAAATAGTAGGGAGAAATATTACAAAGAAGGCAACAAAAAACTCCTCATTTGCAGATAACCTCAATCTACCTAGAAGACACAAGAGAAATCACTGAAAAATTATGAAAATTAACAGGAGAATTCAGTAAGATGACTGAATGGTTACAAAATTAATATACAAAAATTAGCAGTTCTTTTATATGTCAATAATAATCATAGAAGAAATAAGATGAATAAAAATTCAAACACAATAGCAAACAAAATTTTTAAATACTCAGGAACAAAATTAATAGAAGATGCTAGTAAGGTCATGTTATCCTAGAGCAAGAGATGCCTTAAAAGTTTATGAACTGTCCCATCACTAGCTTAGAGAGTGAGGCTAGAATCCACCACAAGAAATTGACTCTATACCTCTGAACCCTCACATGAGCTCCCCTGTCAAAGCCTAGCTGATATACGACCCAAGAGGAATCATGGCTTCTCCTCCCACTGACAATCTAGATCTGATCAAGGCCTGCATTTCCCTAGCCTCTAGATCTGAATCATAGGAATAAGCTCAAAACTGTTCTCATTTCTCAGATTTCATATAGGAAACAGCTAATCAGCAGAGAATCAGGATTCACCACTTTTTCACGGATCAGATAAAATGTCAAGTAGAGAAAACTTACTTATTCTCTAAGAACAGTATTTCAAGGAACTCTTAAACAGCTTTTGGCAGAGAACCTTACTAAATGTATGTGTGGAAATAAATGAGTACATAGACCTTTTACATTATTACTACTGAATAGAATCAAAAGAAAGAATGTTTTGGAAGTATTTATATTATTAAGAAATTCCCAGTGAATACAGTCCTCAATATTTCAGAATTTGTGATTATTTGACTATGGCTTGGTTTCTGGATTATCTTTCCACTCTCTGGACAAAAGTAGTTTCCTAAGAAAATTAATAGTGTAAGCAAATGGTTTGAAGCACCACAGAAGCACCTGTTTACATTCAGATAATTAATATGCTAACAACTCTTATTATTAAATTGAAGCAGTTCACCTAAGGACTTTTGTAGATAATACTTCATTAGCCTAATTATAATGAGTATATATAGCTGGAGTAATAAAATGGACATCTGTTTTAAAACATTCTTCAATTTAAGCCTTCTACTAAATCAAACTAGCTTTCATACATTACTTTCAATTACTGAGGTTTTTGTGGGGGCGGGGGAACAAAAAAAACCCCATTGAAATAGAAAATAAAATTTTCTTACCTTTGAAGTTCTCCATTCCCAGCCATCGCCTATCTTCTGTGAATGTTTAATGAATTCTGCACAATAATGCTGGAATGTTTCTTCTCCAAAGAACTCATCTTCTTCCATACTAAATAACAACTGAAATATAAAAACTATTAGCATCAGCTGTGGAATGAATACTGAAAAGAATTCAGCTAATTCACTTATTTCTTTAAACAAACAAAAATTTGGGATGTACATTGGAAAATAACCTCAGAGCCACTCCAAAAAAAAAAGTGTTTTGTTTCCATCTTTCTCACCCTATCCCCCTTTTTTAATCAGGAAGAAAATGTGATCAACATGAAAACCCAGGGACTTCCCTGGTGGCGCAGGGGTTGGGAAACCGCCTGCCAATGCAGGGGACACGGGTTCAAGCCCTGGTCCGGGAGGATCCCACATGCAGCAGACCAACTAAGCCTGTGCACCACAACTACTGAGCCTGTGATCTAGAGCCCGCACTACTGAAGCCCACGTGCCTAGAGCCCGTGCTCCGCAACAAGAGAAGCCACCGCAATGAGAAGCCCACGCACTGCAACGAAGAGTAGCCCCCGCTCGCTGCAACTACAGAAAGCCCGTGAGCAGCAACGAAGACCCAATGTATCCAAAAATAAATAAATAAATAAATTTATTTTTTAAAAAAAAACAAAAAAACATGAAAACCCAAAACCTAGCTTTGTATTGATAACAAATACGTATCTATAGTTCAAAAAGCTTAGTTTGTCCATAAATTAACTTTCAAGTGTTCATTATCTCACTTCTTCTAAGCTAATGCTTCCAAACAACCTCCTCACACTTCCTTCTCTATCTCCTACCTTAGCTCTTATATAGACAGCATCACAGTGATTAGTGGAGCTGGGCTGTTCTTCACACCTTATATTAGAGTTCAACTCACTAACAAAAGATGTTCTAAAGCCTGAAAGTATTTGTTTTGCAAGGTGTAAGGTGATGATCACCTAATTAATTACCTACTTTATTGAGTTTACAAATGTGCCAAAATCAAGGATTACCCACATATTTGTTATATAAATCTATCTAAAACATGAAACATTGTTTATAGAAAGAAAATTTTAGAGCAGCTGGAAGGAAACTCAGATTATATATCTCAAGTCTATGAGAAAAGTTGGACCAAGTGAATTCCCACATTCTCCTCATTAGTGATAAGCATCATCAGGACAATTAGCACTTGTTAACTGCTTACTATGTCAGGTACTTATGCTAGACACTTCACATTCCCATTTAATCCTCACACAGCCCAAAGGCTGCTGTTATCCTCATTCCTCAAATGAAAAAGAGTAAGTAATCTGCTCAAGAATACAAATGAGGAAAAGTTCAAACCCCAGTTTGGCTCCAGGGCCAATGATCTGTCTATACTAGCTGATTCTCAGTCCAGTGTTCTTTCTGAATATTCAAATTTAGTATGACCTACATAAGAATTTGTTCACTCATCCAACAAATACATATTGTATGTAAGTAGTAGGCACTGTGCATAGGTAAAGGTTAGATACACAAAAATGAAAAAGTGTATAGTTCTTGCCTTGTAAGAACTTATCTTGAATGAAGCATTGCAGGATGTTGAGCAGCATTCCTGGTCTCTATCCACTGGGATGCCAGTAGCGTCCCTTTCCCCAGTTGTGACAACCAAAAATGTCTCCAGACATTGCCAAAGGTTACCTGGGGGACATTCACTCTACAGCTGCTTATTTCTCTGTCCTTCGTGGTTGCAGAAGCGTTTACCCACCTGGCAAACTCATACACATTCTACAGGTGTCCCTCCAGGATGCTTCCATCAAGATGTACCTTGTTTCCCCCACTAAACCATGAACATCTTGAGGACAAGATCCGAGTCTAATTCATCTTGGTACCCCCAGCACCCAGCTTAGTGCCTGGCTCTAGACTGAACCTGATAAACAGTTGTTGGATGAATGAATAAGTAAATGAAAAAAAAACTAAAAAAAAAAAAAAAAAAAAAAAGAACTTATCTTGCAATGAAGGGAGATAACCAGTGACAATAATTACAGCAGAACCTCTCTTATAAGACCAACCTCCATTCAACTTGCCAGATTAACTGACACAGCGTCTATTCCCTCTGTAAAACAATGACTGATGTCTACAGCATGCTTTTTATGAAGCATCTCTGCTCCTATCAGTTGAGTGTACTTTCACAAACCATATTCATGTATCATAAATACATACTTTAATTAAATGCAACACAAACCAAACCAATAAAATGTAAGTAAAAAAGAAACACAACTGTTATTTCTATGACGTAGACTTTATAAAGACTTGGAAAGACTATAAAGGTAAGTCTTCATAAGAAAAAACAAACTACTATTGAACTAGTTATAGACAATACAACTGAAAAGATTGGCTGAGGAGGAAAAAATCGTACAAATCAAGGATTATGCACTCAGATTGTGGCACAAGTGGCTTGAGTTCTTTCTTTTAAACCAAAACTAGAAATTTACAGGATGCATTCCAGGTTCGGTATAATTAAGAATGAACAATGAATTCCAATCAAGCACCCATACTCAAAGAAAATGCCTTGGTCATACATGAGAAAATTCGCAAATGAATGTTTATATGTTTTAAGTTGAAATAAAATGTTTTAAGTACAAATGTATTTTTTTAACTCTAGCTTTAGTCAAATTTCTCAATTTACAGCTCAACTCTTAATTCTGACAGCAATGGAAAAGAGGACTTCGAGTTAAAGTATATACAACGGAGTGATGCACAGATTATGGTAGGCACAAGAAGAGTTCCTTACAAAGAGGGGATGGTGTGGGAAAGTGTCTGGGGTGAGGGTGGAGATAAACCTTTAAGGTTAAGTAGGAGTTTTTGCAGGGCAAATTGTCAGTGAGTGAAGCACAAGGGTTAGAATAGTGGTCCGCGGGGAGGACAGTGTGAACCAAGGTAAGTAAGGGTGTACAGAACCGCAAGTTTGATGTCACCAACATGATAAAGAGAGTATAGTAAGACAGAGATAGTCAAACCCCATGCAAGTTAAATCTGTCTGCCCTCACTAGTGGAGGAGAAATGGATGGGAAGGGCCTCAAAGATACCAGATAAAATAGTGATGAACTTCCTGAAAGGTCACTTGTGTGCCATGCCAGAGTTTGGACTGTCTCCACAGGAAACAGAGAATCAGACGTTAGAGCTGAAAAGGTCAGAATAGTAAATCATCGGTGGTTCTGTGGAAGATGGATCTGAAGGGTACAGCCTGAGGGCAGGGAGGAGAGTTAGAAGCTGTTGCTGGATGAGATATCATGAGAATCTAAAGCCAAGCAATGAAATGGAGCAGAAAGAATATGCATCTTAAGTTATGGAGGCAAAGCTAAAATGAACTTAAGAGATTTGCAAGTCATCTGTTTAAAAGAGACAAATGAAACCATGAGGGTGAATACTGCCCAGCTGGAATGCATGTAGCAAATTCTTAATAAGCCTTCTGGCGGGTCATGAAATTTTACACTAAATTTTGTATGTATATGCCTATCTATATTTTGGAAAGGAAAGATTCTATAATTTTCAACAGATTGTTTGAGGGGTCTTAACCAGAAAGTTAGGAACCTCTGTGCATAGTGAGAAGAGCAGTGGGTTGAGGAAGAAACCTTCAGAGCAGCAGCATTTAAGGGACCTACTGAGGAAGAGGAACGAACAAAAGAGCTAGAGAATGAGTCAGGCATTAGGAGATCCTAGCAAGAGCAGTGCCACAGAGCCCAGGGAGTAGAGAATAGCTAACAAAGAACCAACACTGTCAAAAGAAAAGAGAGGCCCATTAAGAAAAGGACTGAAAACATCCATGGAGCTTGAAAATGAAGCAGTCATTGATGCCTTAGTGAGCAGTTTCAGCAATGGTGGAGAGAGAAGCCAGATTGTGGTGGGCTGAGGAGAAAACTACAAGTGAGGAAATAAGTAAAAACTTTGTAGACTACTTTTCAAAAAATTTGATTGAAAAGTGATACAAATTGGTAACAGAAGCAGCACATAGGCTTAAGGGAGGATACTGTTTTTCCTAAGAAAGGGAGATATGAATATATGTTTAAGCTGAGCAAAGGGGGTTGGAGAGAGGTAAAAGTTGAAAATACCAAAGAGAGAAAGTGACTGATGAAGCAATATCCTAAAGGGGCTAGGAGGAGATGTGGTCATCAGCACAGGATGGGTTTGAACAACACAATTAACACCTTGTCCCTTGCAATCAGAGGAAAGGCATTTGAGGATGAATATAAAAATTAGAATTTTTCAATGGCACCCCAAATTAAGGAAGACAAAGTGTGATGATCACAAGATTTTCAGATGCAGGGGTAGAGGATAATGATAAAAGCAGAGTGTTTGAGAAAGCGAGTGTAGATTAGGAATTGATGGTGAAGAAGAAGAGAAGTCAGCATTTTAAGAAGAGCAGGTACAAGTGAAGGCCCAGCACAGGTTGCGAGCCTGAATTTGCAGTGCAACACTCTGTGAGGTATTGTGGTTGCCTTCGGCAGTCCTCAGCTCCCAAAGTGTCAGAACAAGCAGAGAGGGCTGCAATGAATATGCATGCAAGTTGAGGTTTTGCTGGGTTGAGTCAGTGGAAGGATAAGGGTGAAAGAGGAAACAGAATATGCTAGTGAGAACAGCTCAGCGGTCCAGATTATGTAGAAAAAGGAAAGACGCCAAGAGAAGGTTAAAGGGGCTGGGAAAATATGGCAGTATCAAGAAATACTGCATATGAAAGAGGGTAAAGGACAACTGCAGTGAAAGGAGGGAAATGGAAGATGGGAAGACTATGAGATTTAGAAATTGAGAAGGTCTCAGCTGTGGCCATGGAAATAAGTATATAAGGTAGCTTGGAGACGAAGGTCACTGGAGCTCAGGAAGTTTAAACAACTATAAGACATGTAATGTTTACTGTCTTCCACATGGACACTGAAGTCATTTAGGATTATTCTGAGAGCTACTGGGAATGGAGAGCTCTTTAAAAAATATGTAAGTTAAACTAGGAGATTTAGAAATGACAAGGGGCAAACGGTAGAAGACAATAGAGCACAGAGGTGGTAAGTAATATGTGGTATATAATGCCAAGTCCATCAAGAATAATCACTAAAAACCAATACCTGTGTTCATGA